CCACCACCCCCGCATCCAGCCAGTCACCAAATTCCCTGCTTTGGCCTTCAGTTCAGCCATTCCAAAGGATCTGATTGTTCTTTACCTGTTGTCACACAGTTCTGGCTGTTGGGAAGTAACCACTGTAATTCTGATCATTTAAAAGTCCTCACTACAGTTTGGCTGCAGTTTGGCAAATATTGTCAATTTCAGGCCAGACAATGTTCCTTTAAAACAACTCCAATTAAATTTTCCTAGAAGGCAGACCAGATACTTAAGAGGTCTACTTTTTGCTTCTTAATAATTCCTAAAAATCAAATATTACCAAGGAACCAATGATCTATTTTAAAGAGGATTCTCTCTGAAGCGAGTTCCTAAGTGAATAATCACAAAGGTTCCTTTACCTTTCTAGGGCCAAACTACCTGGGGCAGCATCAGATGATGCTTAGATAGCAGAAAAGCAAGGAAGGATACCTGCAAGGGGGAAAAAAAGACAGACTTAAAGATTTTTAAATAATTTGATATTTTATATTTCAAATAAAAACACCTAAGTAGTTATTATGGGGGAAATCAAAACATTGTGACTTTAGAAGGCAGTGTTTTATTTCCTCAAAATTACACCTAGAAGTATTCCAGGGGCTCTTGCACCCTTGGTCCTCTGACATGACCTGGATCATGCCTAGAGCTCCTCTCTCAGCTGGAGGAGGAAAGGGCTCTGGACATTCTAGGCCTGGGTTTTGCTTCTCTTTGGGAACTGAATTTGCCCCAGGTGAAAGGTATTCACAAAATAGTTGGAGAATGAAGTCCCTTGTCAACTCACCAAACAGGCTCAGTAGCTCCACTTAAAAGGGTCAATTTCCTCTCTATAAGAAGATTGGCCTTAAGGGGTTTGCCCTTGAGTTCAACTCTCCTTTGGTTTGGCTAGACTCCTCTGAAACAGGACAGAAATCATTTATAAAGTTAGTTTTGAATTTCAATAAAGGCCTACAAAGCATTGGATGATACAGCTCTTGACAAGAAATTTTAGCTAATTTCTACTGGAGCATGTTTTTACATAGAAATGAAGGACCTCCCCCCCCAACCCTGAAAATGAAAGATCAGTTATCAAAGAGGAAATGTTGAAGGACTGAATGTGTTTTCTTTACCATTTTTACTAATGCCTTTCAAGAATTCTGGTCTCCCCAAGAAAAATAGAGATAGAAATTCTAATATTTATCTTTGTGGATATGTGTCTGTGCAAATGATATGTGATATTTTGTGAGAGGGTGTGAATCTGTGCAAGGACTAAAGTGTGAATTACTGATATGTATATGTAATTGATGCATGTTCAACATCTATGTTTGTGTGTGTTTCTGAGTGTGAATCCAATCCAAACAAGAATGTGAGTTTATAAATGTTTGGGTATTGGAAAAGTTAACCATATACAACCAAAGCAGATGTTTTAATGAGTTTGCAGATATTTCAATAAGGGCTTTGGTTTTCCTCAGATAAAGAAAAAACAAGAAAAAAAGAAATGGGCCTTTTTCTTTTGGTTAAGTACATTTTTCATAAGAGAAAGTGCCACCTATGGCATGGATATACTATCCAGTTAAAAAAATTTTTTTTGTTAGTAGGGAAATCATTGCTCCTAGTATAAATGACAAATGATTCTTTCCTCTGAGGAAGTTTCCTGTCTTCATTGCTGATCTGTGTGCCTGGTCTAATTACTGAAAGCTCAAGCCTGGGGTCCAGGGAATTGAGGGAGAGAAATTCATTCAAGAGTAATCAGAGAGAAGCAGGGAAGGGCTTGGGAAAAGAGGGAGAGAGTGTGGATGATGTGGAAACCATAAGGGTCACGAAACAGGAGCTCAGCTCAGATTTCTTCTGATGAGTTCCAAGGCAAAAAGTGTGGTTCAGGGTAGGTCTGTGGCAGGGATGCAGTTTTCTGAAAAATAGCTGGCAGAGGACCTGGACCCAGTAGAAAATTCCTTCTGCTGCTGGTTTGGTAAAAGCAGCTGATGATCTAAGTGCCCACACTTCTGCCTTCACGGAGGGCTACTCCCAGCCCCGTTTCACATGGGGCCAGTGGTCCACCATGTGACCAGCTGGAAGATGTTGGGTGCCCAGCGTGGGTGTGTGCTGTGGACACTGGGAAGGCCTGCAGGAATTGGCTGCCCCTGGGTAGGAGGGATGGGTCATTGTCCTCCGGGACTGGGGAGGGTGCAGGGTCATTAGGTAGAGCATGATGTGGTGTCTGCTAGCCTGAGGAAATGGCTTGCTTTTGTTCTTCACCCAGTAAGAAATGGACCTGAATCCATTAAATTCTGAGCAGTTCAGCACAGCACAGTTTGAGCTCTTGGAGGCTCAATGCCGAAAGGGGTACTTGTGTGGATTTGTGTCCCAACCACCATTGTGCAGCATGCCCATCATTTATGTATTTAAAGCCTGTCAGGCTGGAAATCTGAAGCAGAGGTCTGGAAGAAAGTAATGCCAACAGACACGGGGAATGGTAAAGTGCACCTGTAGAGTTAAAAATGCATGACCCGCTCCCTCAAAGAGGGAACACAGGAGAAAGACCCCATCCTGGAGGGTGGCTGCTGAGCTGTCATACATAATTCAGGGGCCCATGCTGCTCTATGCAGATGACAGTATTAAATCGTGATTGATGCTAAGAGATGCACACATCTCAGGAAGGCCTCCAAGAGGCTTCTGGATATTTCCATGTCTCTTGTGCCTCTCTGTTCTAACTGTGGTATTAAGCAAAACCCCCCTTTCCCAAGAACCCCTGCTAGGGATTGCAGAGCTTCACCCTCAAAGTGAGATTTTTCAAATGTCATCACCCACCTTTTCTGCCCTTGAAGGTCACCCCCTTCCCTTCTGGCCCACATGAGGCTGTTTACCTCCAGCCAGGCTCTGTGGGGAGGGGGAGCCAGCTCCTGCCTGCCACTGCCTTTCCTGCAGCTGATGTGGCTGGACAAAGCAGCAGCACACTCTGGTGGTGTTGACCAGGCAGGGGGGACAGTGTGCAAAGAGCGCAGAAATAACGTAGGTGTCCATTCAACACAAAGCACCTTTGTCGAAATTCTGAGCTTGGAGCCAGTGGCTTCTCCAATGCAGATTTTTTCCACTCGGTGTATAATGAAATAATAAATCAAATTTGCAGTGTATGCAGAATTAAATGTTTGGGGATTTTGCTTTTTCTTTCTTAAAAAGAGAAAAAACCTGAAATCACCCCCCAGGGTCTATTCTGGCCCAATGCTGAAAGTGCTTCCTTGCAGCACATGTAATTGTAACCAGGCTTGCTTGTGGGTCTGCACCACAAAACCACGATTGTCAGTTCCTGGAGCCCGGACTGCTGGCTGCCTGGGGTGGGACGGGAGACACCGAATAAAAAGAAGGATTGATGAGGTAAAGATAGCGAGGGGAGGTTTGAAGGAGGAGAGGAAGACAGGCCAAGAAGGAGAGACAGGAAAAGGCAGGGAGGCATGTCAAGTGTACAGCTTTCTTGTTTTTATAATCTCAGGCCCTGTGATTGGAAATATTTATGACCATTTTCTGGGAATACTTTGTGTGTGTGTGTGTGTGTGTGTGTGTGTGTGTGTGTGTGTGGTCGGGTGGGTAGGCGGAGGGATGAGCTGAAATAATCTCTTCCACCGAATGAGTAAGTAGGTTAGTCTCCTGGACTGCCATAAAAGGTCTGTAAAATAGTTTTGATCAGCCACTGGGAGAAAAGGGAAAGTGGGGGTTGGAGGAAAGACTGTAACATATTTGAAGTTCTTTGGGTTGCTGCTTTCTCTTCTAGACCCACCCTGCGGAGGTCGTTTGAATTCCAAAGATGCTGGCTATATCACCTCTCCTGGTTACCCCCAGGATTACCCCTCCCACCAGAACTGTGAGTGGATTGTTTACGCCCCCGAGCCCAACCAGAAGATTGTCCTCAACTTCAACCCTCACTTTGAAATTGAGAAGCACGACTGCAAGTAAGCATGAGTATGTTGCTCAGCTGTGTTGCGCCGTGGGGGGCTCACGCACCCCCAGCCCACCTCATATTCTTCTGTCCCTTCTGTCACCCAATGGCAGCAGTGAGTTTCAGCCCTGAGTCTCAAGACCACATTCTCCTTCCGGGGAGAAAAGGGGGAGCTGACCCCACAGTATGGAGGATGGGGCCTTCCGGACTCAAGGGTAAAGAATGTACCCGGTCTCTGGAAACGGGGAGGATTTCCAGTGGGCAGGGCTGGACTCTGAACCGCTCATCCCTCTTGATGCTGGGGGTTACCTCCCCTTGGAGACGCCCATTTCTCTGCCCCACAGAGGGACCCACCCACTTCCTCAGTAAAATAGTAGCCCCTCTCCAAGTGAAGACTGCCTCTACCTCAGAGGGTCAGCCCATTCCGTTTTGAAGTGGCTGCTGTTTGCCTTATTATAGAAAGAGAGAGCTCAGAAATCTGGATTTGTGAGGTAGGCCTAGGACTCACTGATTCTAGATATCTGAGCTGCACAGGTGAGAGTCTGATCTGATGATATGGATTTATTTAACAAATCCTTTTTAATTGCTTTACAAATACTAATCTATTCAGTCTCACAATGAAAGATCCCCGGAAGTTGGTGCCACCATCATCTCCTTTTTGCAAACGAGAGCACTGCAACACAGAGAGGTTAAGTCAGTCACCCAAGATGACTCAGCTGGTCTTACAACATGACACCTTGGAAACGTGAGGCTTAGAAGATGCTAAGTGGACATTTAAACATGTATGAGTGCTTGGAATTGCCATGTTAACACTGTGGTCTCTCTATATAAGGAGGCAGCGTTGTAATAGCAAGAATGCAGATACGTGTGTGTACTCTAATGAGCTCTCTTAAATTCTTTCCTCACTGTACAAAGATGGAGGTTTAGCTGGGCATGGTGGTATGTGCCTGTATTTCCAGCCCTCTGGGGTGTTGAGGCAGGGATTCAAAAGTTTGATCCCAACTTTGGCAACTTAGCAAATTTAGTGAAGGCATGTGGCAAAATTAAAAATCCAAACGGCTGGAGATGTAGCTCAGTGTGAAGGCTCTGGGTTCCATCTCGTTTCCCTCTCCCCAAAGTGAAAATTCTCTGTGCCGAAACCAGTGTCCCAATGATGTATTTTGCTCCAGATCAGCACCCAGTGTGCTACAAGTGCTCTGCTAAGTGTTCAATGCCCCACCTGTGTAATAAACACTGTCACCAAAGGCACTGTGGGTCTTGAAAGATGAATGAAGGGGCCAGCTGGTGGGACAGGTATAGGGGAGCAAGCAAGACTCTTGGCCTTCATTTCAGAGCAGGCGTAGGTCCCAGCCAGTGCTCCTCCGGGACTTTAACTAGCACTTGGCCAGCCCCGGGGCTCAGTGAATTGATGCTGTTATTACCCTCTGAGGACTCCTTTACACCTACACAATGGCCTCCTCCTAATGAGAGGTAGTCTTTGCTGAAACCCAGGTTTCCCCAGATGGTTGCCACATGTAACCAAGAGTCATTAGATGGAGTTCTAATCGCAGAGCCACTCCTGACTAAGCGGACGACAGTGGGTAACACTAGTTCCTCTTTGTCTCCGGTACATTCACATCCTGGACACATTGACTCAGCATGTCAATTCTTCTACTTCCCTGGCAGTGACCTTTACTAAGAATTTCAGTTAGGAGAGGGCTTCTTTAGAAGGCATGGTGCTCTGGCTGAGTGGTGGCAGGTTGGCACACACTGAAGCATAGTGCACAGAGAGCGTGGAGCTGAGCTCAGAGAAATTCAACTAAGCACCTCTCTCCACTGAGGGCCAAATTCTGTTCTGCTGATGCCAGCAGATCTTGCAGGGAAATTGCTAAGAGGCCGTTTTCTGTGACTGTCTCATGACAGAGGGAAAAGTTACAGTTTTTGGAAGGAAAAGCTCGGGTGTTAGTGAGGAAGGCTTCAGACATGCTGGGAAGTGTGAAAAGGTTAGAAAAGCATGCCCTTGTTCTACTTTGGGCTGCAGCAGCCCCTTTCCTGTGCAGGACTCAGCCTCGGTGTGGGGAGAACTCAAGGTGACCAGAGCCTCTGTCAATAGCAAGACAGACCTTGTCCCTGGCTGCAGCTGCAGTTGAGGAAACAGGCTCATTCCAGGGAAGGCAGGCACTGGATTATCCACCTCGCTGAGTAGTTTCCTGTTTTCTCCCTGCTCCCCACCCCATGCTTCTGGCTTCAACCTGAAAGGTCAGGAAGGTCAAGAAAACGTCTCTCTGGAGTCTGTTTCCCCCAAGACAGATTGTCAGAAAGCCACCACTGGATTAAACCTCATCTACGGAGCCTTGTGCTCCATCATTCTCCCCACACCCTTTTCTCCACTGTTCCCTCATATTCATCAATTTTTATATTTAGAAAGATACATATGGGTCTCTCAGCTTCTCTCTCCTCAAGGTATTTTGGACACTTTTTCTGGTCACCTGCATTAAGAATACATGAGAGGGGCTTCCCTCGCCTCCCTGACTTGTTTTACTCCACCGTGAAAGGAATGCTTAATCTAATTCAAGTCGTGGAAATCATGTCTGGTTCTTACTCCTTCCTTCTCTTTCTTCATTTTTGTTGCAAGGAAGCTCCTGCATTTGTAAAGCACTGACTATTACAGGAGTCCAGCTCTGAGTTTAATTTGGTTCCCTAGGCCCGTAAGGGGAACACCTCCCAAAAGAAACTGCCTCCACTGTCCTTCTGCTCGCAGCTTGCAGCACCAACTCCCTAGCAAAACGGGGAAATGAACAAGAAAGTCAGGGGGAAGCCACCCCAGCTACAGGGAAAGGACAGTCTGCCTTTCTGTTTTTCTCTTCCTTTTTCTATGTGCAGGATTCATTGAAAAAATTGCCCCTGATCTGGGAACAGCCCCTGATATGGTAGAATTACCCTGGTCTGTGGCCCCTAAGCCTTTAGCTCTCTGTCCTTGAAATCTATATCCCAAAGCTCAAGATGGTTGCTGAGTAAACCCCAGAGAGACCTTTCCCCTAACCACCACTTGTTCACTTTGTTCCCCTGAAGCCTGCTGTCTGCTTGGAAAATTTCACACACAAGTCTTGGCCTTGCCTGAGTCAGTGCGATCCAAGGCCACCATCCCTTGTGAGCCTCTCTGAGCCCTTCCTCCCTGAGCTTGAGCACCCACAGGCTGTTCTGGGGCCTGGCCAGCAGCTATGGGCAGAAGCCAGAGGCCTCAGTGGCAGTCCCAGGTTCCTGCACTCAGGGCAGAAGAGCAGGACTTGGGGCTGTGTTGGCAAACAGAAGAAGCCACTTGGTCCCCTGGGAAGCAGAGGAGGTTAGGAGGCTGCTGCTTTGGCAGACAGAAGCCTTTCACTTGAGTCATCAGCCAACCGGCTGAGTGTTATGGGTTTAGAAATACACATACAAAGCTGAGCATTTTTTCCATTTCTAAAATTTGGAATATATGTATTTTCTAAAACATTCACCAGTGTGTCATACACAGCTTATCCATGAATCCTCAAAGAGGCACAGCAGCCCCTCATCCCAGAGGTCTGACCCAATAAAACCCACATCAAGAGGCTGGGCCCTTTTAAGAAAAAAACATTTCCAAGTGGGTATCTTGGAAAACGTTTTTGGAAAGCACAAGAGCCTCTAGAAGATTTGGAAGAACAGTTCTTAAGCTAAAGACCTCAGGAAGTCTACACTACCATGATTTAATGCGTTATGTGCGCACAAAAGTATTTTATTTAGCACACATCATGAAAGGACGGTTCTCATGTAGGTGAAATTTCCAGATGTTAAAATACACCCCTTTAAAGATCCAAAAGTGCTTTTCTAAAGGGTAAATGATAACATCTTAAGTCATGGCCCAGATTTCTGTGTCTTAAACAAAATGACACTCAAGGGAACTCAACTATTTCTTGATTCAGACTTCTGATTCTAAACTTCACTTTTTGTGACACTAGTACAATATCATATTTGGATCCAACCAATTTAGATTTGAATTTTTGTTGGCATTTTAAACTTTCAAGGCCTCAGTTTCCCCTTTAAAAACCATAACAACTGCTTTGCAAGTTTGTTGTGCCTTTTTTATGTAGATGCACAACAAATTAGCAACTGCATCTGTACCTTATTGCTTTGTCGTGGGAAAGTTTGGAACTATTTCTTATCAGGGCTCTTGTTGTCCCTTCTTATATGAGTGGGCCTGCTTCTACAGCTTCTTGCCTCTGACTTTTTTTTTTTTTTAAGTACTTTTAGTTTTTACAATTTTGCCTCAGAAGGTCTTGCTGTCTCTTAGGAAGTTCAAGTACTGGAGTCTCAGCTTTGCCCTAAGCCAGTGTCACACCAAGGCCACCACTTCTACTTGGTTCAGACAGCCATGCTTACAGCAGAGCAAGAACTGATGAGTGGCCCCAAATGACAAAGCATAAGGGCAACAGTGCATGGAGTTGTCTGTCTTAGTTTAGACGATTAAAATATTTCTCTTCTGCTCTCCCTATCCCCATATTCTGGATATTTAAGATTTTGGACATTTGGCCTCTGGCTAGTGTCCCAGGTAGCCAGGTAAACAACCAGTAAACACCCGGTGCACCCAGTAAACATCCTACATTCCAAACAGCCAGCTGCTGTGTCCACCTGTATAAGGAGCCCTGAGTTCCCAGTGGTCAGGGCCCCTTCTTCTTTCCCCCTTCTCCCTCCAGCAGCCTGCTCCCCCACCCTTCCCTTCTGCTCCTTGGTTCCTCCAGTTCTCTACCATGGGCTCCCACTTCAAACTCCCAAAGCCATTTACAACACCTTGATTTGCTTGCTTTTGTTTATGTGTGGTCATCTTGTGTTCTGAACATTTAAGTTCTTCAAGGGCAGAAACTACATATTTTATTTTTAAACTCATGCAACATTTAGCCCTAGAGGGTGCTAAACAGGTGTTACCAGGTGATTGTTATAGTGATATTTTTACATTGGAGACACCAGGGCATAGGTGACATGAAAAGAACCTTCCATGTTCATCCCCCTGAGGCCACAAGG